CCCCCACCCCCGCATCTCCGCCTCCATGGGCTGCTTCCTCGCCTGCTTCGGCGGCGGCGACGGCGACCGCCGGCGCCGGAAGCCGCGGAGGCGGTCCCCGGCGAGGCTCCCGCCGCGGCCGCGGCCGGACCATGTGAGATTCCTGGTTTCGGAGCACCCCGTCCTGCCCTAGCTAGGGCGCCTTGGTTGCGGCGAGTTCCTTCCTGATCGGTTCTGGGTTTGCCCCGCAGGTGGCTCTGTCCGGCGAGGCGTCGTCGCTGGCGGATGTGGTGGTGAAGCAGGTGTCCGCGCCGTTGCCAGAGGCGAGGGCTTTGGCGCCGCCTCCGCCACGGCCGCCGCTGGTCGTGGAGGTTGCGGAGGAGGTGGCCGCTGCCGCGAGCTCCGGAAAGGAGCCGAGGTGAGCTTATAACCTACATTGCGTCGTTTTTTGCTCACGGTCGCTCCTGTGCTCGGATGCTCATGTTATGTAGGACAGTAGGAGTACTTGTGTGAGTGTGCGCGACAGAAATGCCATGACTGGTTAGGAGAGAATTGCGGCTCTGGTGTTTGCTAAAATGCCACAGGGAAGCAGCATGGTAGAATTACTGGTGGATACAGGCATAACTTGCTCGCTTGCGCCCAAGAGATGCGAATTGCCGTTCTTACTGCTGGTTTCTGTGCAGGGAGTTGAGCGAGCAGAAAACTGTGACATCACCAACGCCGACAGTGGATGCCGTGGAGGAGGTGGTCACTGCCGCGAGCCCTGGAAGAGAGCTGAGGTGCGTGCAACCTTCATTGGGTGGCCATCGCTGTCTGTGCATGTTTTCAGAGTCTTTCAGTAACTTGAGTTTGCTGTGCTGTTTCTTGGCAGGCAGTTGAGTGAGCACAAGGAAGCGCCTGCACGCTCTTTACTGCTGGAGAAGGTAGTCACACCACCACTCCCCGGAAGAGAGCTGAGGTGTGTGTGCCTGCCTTTACGTTGCCTGTGCATGTTTACAGATTCTTTCAGTAACTTGTGTTTGCTGTGGTGTTTCTTACTTAATTGTTTCTTTGCAGGCAGTTGAGTGAGCACACGGAATCACCTGGACGCTCCTTGCTGCAGGAGAAGGTACTCACACCACCACTCTCCCCAGTGAAATGTTCACCTGTGGCAGCAGCTGTTGCTTCAACTCCTGATATGGAACTCAGGTAAATGAATGAAATGTTGCATCCTTTCTGTACGAACTATTATGCAGATTATGTGCCTGTTAATATATGCCGTCTTTCATGATGTGTAGGGAGGTGAGTGAAGAGGATAGCCGCAGTGGTGGCAAGAAGAAAGTGACATTTGACATGAATGTTACAACATACGAAAATACATCGTCACCTGACCAAGAAGAGATACCCTCGGAGCTTGTTAAGTGGATGGAAGATGAAGAGGAAGAACACATGCAGAAGACTGTTCTGTTCTCAGAGAATCATCGGTACGGGAATTGCACAGACAGTGATGATGACAATGGAGATGAGTATGGTGAGGATGACAACTATGGTGATGATGGTGATGCAGAGGAGGATTTTGTGGACTGCAAGATTGACTTGCTGGATGAGGAGGAAATAAGAACTGAAGAGAACCCAGAGGAGTCTCAGGAGTCTCTGTTCTCACTGCCAATGTCTAATTATACGCAGAATGACCAAGATGTCAGTAGCCCTGTGCCCAAGAGCAGTGTTACCCCTGCACAGGAAGAAAGCCCTCTAATCCAGGGGAACAATCACCGTGATAGAAGCCAGTACGTCCGCCCTGTTTTGAACCCAGTTCAGAATCGAGAACAGTGGAAGGAAGTTAAGGCCCAAGCAGGACCAGTTAAAAAGTTGTACAAGGAGAATGTAAACTCGGTGCCAAATGTAGGTGCAACCCTTACTTGTAAGGTTGCAAATCAAATGAAGATGGGCCCTAGCAACTCTAGCAAAGGGGAAGTTTCTGTGGATGCAAGCCTCTCTACATGGCTAGTTTCTTCAGACAACTCAACAGTTGATAAGGCGCAAAGTAAATCCCCCCGTTCAGTTTCCTCTGTATGCAGACAAGAAAGGCCTGTCCTGGGTGCTTTGACTGTTGATGACCTTAAGCAATCGTCAGCTACATCATCTCCACGAAGGTCTCCAAGCCATAACCGTGAAGAGGTGCCGATCTTGGGTTCGGTGGGAAGTTACTGGAGTAGCACAAAGCAGGGTAATGAGTACTGTTCTTCTAGGTCTGATTCAGGAACTAATGGAATCCCCAATTCAACAAGCAAATACAGAGAGGTGCACTGAACACGCCGAATGCAATCATGTATTTCTTGCAATTGTGAGTGATATACTTATCAGTTAATGATTTGTTGCAGGACAGAAGGGTGAACTGGCACTCGACTCCCTTTAATGTGAGGCTGGATAAAGCTATGAAGAAATCTTCTGCATGAGTTGCTGGCACTGCTGCTAAAGATCTTTAATAGTTAAAGATGTGTTGAGTTGTGTAAAGAATATCCCACTTTGTGTAGCAAAAAAGTCCGTAGATTTATAACTGAATCCAGTTTGAATTTTATGTATATTGGAGGAGAGATCTGTGGTCCCTTCTTGTTCCGGATATAGAAGTGCCACAGAATTGGCTTGTTTGCATAACTGCCTGTGTGCATTGCAAATTGTGAGTAAGAAAAATTGGTTATTAGTTGCTCATCTTTTCCTGTCCCATGTTTCTTAAAATTTCCAGCTTGCTTTCATTTTTCTATGACAACCGGGCCTTGTGGGTTCTGAATTTGATGTGGAGACAAAAGCTGGAAATGCTGGCACAACCTCGATTTCACCGTAAGTTGAGTAAAACACACTAGGCAAGAACAAGGTAGCCCTGGCAGCACCACAGTTAAAGATTTGCAATTGCATTTGAGTTTTTTTTTAAATGCTAGATGCTTACTCGATCTCACACTATACAAACGCATTATGTTCTTGTCGGAAATTCCACATATATTTTTTCCTGTCTTATTGTTTCTTCGAACTAAACCAATATATACTTGGGACTACTGCTTAGTCAACCTCTTGGGACGACTCATGGCTGCTAATTCAGTCCTAGGACTAGCGCAAACATTGTGTTCGTA